AGCGAGAGAGTTTTTTCCAGAGCAGGGGATATTGTCAATGCCCAAACATCCCAGCTTATAAATACCTGGAAATGTGGACATTCTCCTATTCCTAAAAACCTGTCTGATGGTGCTGAGTGAGTGACTAGTGAGTTTGAGTTGAGTTACTTGAAAAGCTAAAGTGAAACTTGATTTATTTTATTGCAGGGTCTGATTATTAAATGTCCTTGTTTACTTGTGAGATGCAGTGGCATAAAGAAAATGCTTACTTTGTTTGGTAGTACTAGTAGGTACGAAAACACTGGTTTTCTTGTTCCAGTCTGTTACTGTCACTTTGTTTTTGACACTTTAAAATACTGCTATCCTACAAAAATGCTGTAAAAATCCGATTTATTATGTCATAAAAAACATTTTCCGAGTAAAAATCTTTTTTATTGAAAAAAACATATTTATGAAAAAAAAATGTCTTCCCTTTATTATTCAATATCGCGATAAATACCGTACCGTGGACTTGTTATCGCGATATTATCGTACCGTGAGTTTTTGGTATCGTTACATCCCTACATATCAAGGCTGTCCTCTGTAATAACTGACGTCTCTCAGTTTGTATTGTTGACATGGAATCTGGGACTAAGGTCGTCCTCACCCTCAAGGTTCACATGGACGCTGTGTTCAGACTGTGTTTCTAATCTGTTTATTCTTAAACAGCTCTCGCACCTCAACTGTGTGTGTTTGTCACAACACTGAGAAGAACCTGTTCAACAAAAAATGCACACCCTGGGAACGTGACACCGGCTAGACTCGTCCCCAGAGAACCTGTTAATTATATCATATAACTTTACTGCAATGTGAGCATCCGTCATTATTCTACATTAGTAGCTGCAGGACAAAGTACTCGTACTTGAGAGAACGCTGCAAACACACTCCTTTGGTGGTATTTTCAGACATTTTACGATTAACCAAACAAAGGAATACAAATGAGCCAATTATTCTGTAATGTAAAGAATGCAGCTGTCTAGTTTTGGTTGTTTCCCCATAGGACCGATGTCAGTTTTTTCCCAATGGTTTGAAAAGTGACAAGCTCAATAAAACAAAACAAAAGAAGATGTTCCATACTTATTCTCACAAGATGTAACATTTGAAATCAAACCACACACTCCTGATGGAGCGAATCAGCTTGAGTCTTTAATTGTTTATAATAATACCAATACAATAATTCCAAAAGCATGTTTTTTTTTTACTTTAACTTCAAACCAACTTTTCATTGACTTTAAATGATCATTTAACCACTCTATACCGAAGAGGGTAATTCCAATGTAAACTGTATCCATTGTGTTGGGTTGGCGACAGTTTGATCAAAAATGGATATCGTTAAACATCAGCAGCAAAACCTGAAATGATTTGAATAGCCATTCCAATAGCGAAGTGAACAAGATCAAAATGTGACGTAATACCTCCAAAATAATGAGGTTCCCTTAAACCTTAGCTGTTCTCTGTGATTACAGCTGATTATCACAAATTAGCATGCAGCGAGCAGCTTGAAATAAGCAGATGTACCTGTTGGATATTACTTTCTAAATAACATTGTGTTAGCATTGTTCCAATGAGCACGTTAGCAAGGTCATTTCAAAAATCAAAGAAATGTTCCATTTTCATTTTGAAGTACCGGTAATATCAACAGAGGTGCCACTGTTTATCTTATTTCTGAGGAATATACTATATATATACATATATATATGTATATATAATATACTGAGGAAACGACTACACGTATGCTTAATAATTGAATTAGGGCTGCGCTCGCTTGCTGGTTAAAAGTAACACACCTAAAAATGTATAGATATAATCAGAATACTTAATGTATCTCGGGGGAAATATTGTGACAGTTGCTCCTTTTCAGAATGCAATAACATAACAATATTTAAGACATTAAAGGAAAAAGTGCAATAAAATATTAATTTTTTTTGATATAATACAAGTATTTATATAAGCATAAGAAGTTAAAGTTAAAAAGGGCAAACAAAGGTAAAAATGGAATACTACTATTTATATATACATAAGCACTTGAAGATAAGCTATGCACACTGTTCAATATCTAACAGCAATAAATATGTAAAGATGTGTTTATCACAATATTTGCAGTGGTGTATCAGCATTAACAAAGATATGGATTCTGAATTCACAGTTTGAGGGGCTTTTAGCTGCTGATGGTGCAATAAGTCCAAATATCCTAGATCCTAGATTTTATTAAAAAAAATGAATGACCTGCCTTCTCTCCCTCTCCTCAGGTCCCCTCCTGGCCTGCTGCCCACCACACACACTCCTTCTTCTAACACACACTCTTTACCTCACCTCAACCAGAGCTCTGTGTTATCACTACCACTCCACACACACACTTTTACCTCACCATGCTGGGACAGGAGTTCCTGCGGAAGCTGAAGATGCCAGATCTGGATGATGTCAGCCAGTACATCCAGAGCGTCTCCACCCCAGTGCTGGTCAGCGTGGGGGCGGTGGCTGCCGCGACAACATACTACCTGGCAACCCGGCCCAAAGCCCTCCCGCCAGTGTGCGACCTCCGCATGCAGTCCGTGGAGGTTCAGGTGGGTTTCACATCGGGTTGTAGGTTCAAATATATAGAAGAAACACAAATCTCTGGCCACCTCTTTTAGGTCCAAATTGCTCAATCTGCTCAGTTTGTTGGTCAACCCTCTTTTTCTGCCTCCAACCACGACCTGAAAAGTGAATATGAATTGTTACCATTAAATCACAGGGTCCACCAAAGACACAGGGTCCCACGATTTAATAAGGTTAGACTTGAGCACTCTTTCGTGCACCAGCCAATCCAAAAATGTAAACTGAGGTTAATCCCAGATTAAAGATCTTGTCTTCAGCAATTAAAATGTTATGTTCAGTTTCTGTTCCATTGTTTGTTGTCTTAAAAGGGCCCTATTATGAATATGATATGAGGTTTTCCCTTTCTTGCAGTGTGCTTGTAGATTTTTGTGCATGTTAATGGTCTGCAAAGGCCAAAATCCAAAATTCCCTCCGGGGAGTTTCTTTTTGATCCTTAAAGTATATAAACATGTCACAGTAGAGGCACAAAATACAAATATGAATTAATTAATATGCACTCTTTATATATTTACCATTGTTTATGTTTCATATGGAGCTGCATTGATGCAAGACAAATGTCAGACTCCTTCTGACTAACGTACTACTTTATATAAAAGAGCAAGCTTTCCTGTAAGTGCAGATGTAGGACAATAATGTATACATACTGTGACAGCTAATGAAACACCACTGAAAAATACTGTTGAAATCAAATGTATGAACATTGACGAAGGTATTACTCTGTACATCCGGTGGTTCAGTAAAGGGCTGTTTCTCTAAATGTGGCAACATTCAAACACAGGAACAACCCTGACTCAAGTGTTTGGATTGTACACCCCTCCCTTTTTCAATGAGGCAATTCTTTAAGTGCTCTCGCTTTGACCAGACAAAAGCCCCAAGAAAACCACTATAAAAAAACTGATTCAAAACCAACTGAACCAGGTGTTAATTATTAATTTAAGTGCAAAGGCAGGACAAGCTGCCATTGTTTCACAATGATTTCTCCGTCGGCAGATCACAGAGGAAGTCAAGTTTTGTTGTAACCTATATTTTACTCACAAAGAAGCATCTGGTGCAACACATCAGGTCAGGTGACAGCGATAGAAGCTTCGACAGTGACAGAGACCCCCCCCTAACAAGCCATTTAGTCACTAGCAAACAACCATGACACATAGAAGCTCAGACATTCACCAGTAGGGTGTTTACTGACGTATTTTATGTCGTAGAACAAAAGGTGAACATTTATTTTCTTGTGCAGACCATATTTCAGGAATCTGAACAAAACCTTGACTTTTAGACGAGGAAGCAGAAGTGCGAAAGAAATAACTAATGTCCTGGTTTTAGGACTCATTCCTGCACCACTCTATTGGGAAACAATCTGACACTGCACTAAACTGTAATAACAACACTAAAATAATTGAAACTTGATGTGAATGATTAAGAGACTATAACTGATGTTTGAATGAATGATTAAATAAATATCTGTTAGATCAATCTTAGATTACATTGATTTGTTTTATCAGGGTGGAGAGTTGGCACGCCGATCGGTGCTGCTGAAAGGAGACGCTAACATCACACACTTCTACGATGACGCCACAACAATGTACGAGTGCTTCCTCAGAGGCGTCAGAGTCTCCAGTAAGAAACAAACACATAAATATATGAATTCATTTTTGATAGTTTGACAGTCTGTCTGCCTTGCATAATGGGGAATAAATGTTGCTCTTTGGAGAGCAACAGAGTAGGATCTACGGTGGCCGACATGTGCCAACACGCTACAATGGCCCAAAACACGTGCTGGACTTCCAAAAATGTTTTAAATGTAAAAACACTATTGTGCCAAAACATGCAAATGAAGAACTTCACCAACTTGACAACACATGGGCAGGATTTACTAAAAGTGCTGCATACGTAACGCTGCAGGAAGCTCAAAACACAACGGAAACGGGGACTCTAAAAAGTGACGCACACAGCTGGGACCGGAGCGCTTGTTTACAGGGATAATAATGTTGGCCAACTGTCACTGAAAACTTAAAATGTACATTTTATTAGCTTATTTGAGCTATGTGATCACAAGATTTCTTCCGATATTTTTGCATCTGCTGTCATCTAGCATGTTAACCTAGTCATTGCAAATATACTGACAAAACGCTGCACATGTTTTGTCAGGTTGGTGAAGATTGGTTCCTCATTTGCATGTGATTTGGCACATTTGTATTTTTATTAGGGCCGGGACTTTAATGGGTTAATTAAGATTAATTACACAAAAATTAACGCGTTAAAAAAATTAACGCATTTTAATCGCACTTATTTTTGCACCGCGGAACGTTTCTCACTGGATGAGAGTTTCAGGGGTACCGATTATACTGGAGCACCAACTAACGTTCATGACTTCAAACAACAACAAACCACAGTGAACAATAGTCAAACGTGAACGAACAAGCTGATGAGACCGCTTTGGTTGGCCCCGTGGATGGGACATTTTGTTTTAAAAAACGGACGGATGGAAGCGTCAATAAGAGCATGGTTGTTTGCAAATTATGCAAAAAGGAATTTGCGTATCACCGCAGCACATCAAGCCTCAAGTATCACCTCAATGCAAAACATATAGCAGCTAGCGTGGAAGCTAGCGTGGACGTTAGCCCGACTCGGAGTACAAGGACCCACACCCAATTCGCGTTGATCAAACAGTGGCCTATGCAACAGAGAGATTTTATTTTTCATCAGGATATTGGAAGAATAGGAGGGATTGAGGTCAATCACTGGCACTTTTTTATTTTATTTTAAATGGTACAGTACACTTTATGTTGAACTATTTATTATGTTGTTGGTGCAACTGGCACTTTATGTTGA